GCATCTACCTGGACACAGACTTCATTGTGCTTAGGAACTTGAAGAACCTCACCAATGCCCTGGGTATCCAGTCTCAGGATGTACTGAATGGGGCCTTTCTGTCCTTCAAACCCAAGCATGAGTTCATGGAACTTTGCATGAAGGACTTTGTGGAGAACTACAACGGCCAGATCTGGGGCCACCAGGGCCCAGAGCTCCTAACGCGTGTCTTCAAGAAGTGGTGCCCCATCAGTTATATCCAGAACAACATGAGCTGCAAAGGGGTGCGTGCTCTTTCCCCAGAAGTCCTTTATCCGATTTTCTGGGGGGACTGGAAGAAGTTATTTGATACGGTCAACTCCTCAGAGCTTCACAGGCTCCTTAAGAACACCTACGCGGTGCATGTGTGGAACAAACTGAGCCACGGGACACGGCTAGAGATCACATCGCAGGCTTTTCTGGCCCAGCTGTATTCTCAGTTCTGCCCTGCCACGTCTACAAAGATGAAGAGGGACTCTGAAGGGCAGTCGAGGCCTGTAATGTGACCCGTGGGCCCTTGGCTGCAGGGACGTTCCCCAACGTGAAGGAAACAGAGTGCCTTTCACCTTCCGCAGAGTTGGCTTCTAGCCCACGGAGCCAGTATTCTGTGCGACAAGGCAGTCGTTTTGTACCATTTCCGATATCTGCCTCAGATCCCACGTGCTTCAAGTATACACCAGGACCTGAGTTTTGGACTCTCTTGTTGTTCTTCAGTAGCCCTTGATGCTGCAGGGAAGGGTGAACTTTTTCATGGGTGCCTATCAGTTGCTGCCTATTGCTGTTCTCTCAATTGTATCAGGCCTGAAACGCCTCTCGTGTCATTTCAACAGGCGTAGGAACCCTTGGCTTGCTCTCTGTAACGCTTCTGAGTATGTCAATAAATGCCGGACAGTGCTGTAGGGCATGGTTTGGAGGAGCTTAGGACCAAACTCCCTGGGTGGTAAAGATTCTAACGGCTGGTGAAGTTTTGGGAGAGACTGTGAGTATATGAAACTCACTTTAAGAAATGGAAAAGATTTTAAAT